GGTGAAGTATTGGGGCTTACCAAGGCATATTATCAGTGATCGAGACCCCCATTTTACTGGAAATGTTTGGAGAGAGTTATTCAACATACTTGGCATGGAACTGCACTTTTCCACTAGTTTTCACCCATAGACTGATGGACAAACAGAACGGGTCAATGCCTTACTAGAATGCTACTTGAGGCATTATGTAAGTGCGCATCAGAAAGATTGGGCAAGGCTCCTAGACATTGCCCAAATTCTCTTATAACTTGCAGCGGAGTGAGTCCACGGGACAGACACCATTTGAGCTAGCCACAGGCCAACAGCCACAAACTTCACATTCATTACCAGCCGCGTTCAAGAGAAAGAGTTTGGGGGCTTACCATGTTGCCAAAGGAAGGGAGGAACAGCTTGACACTGCTAAGTCCTACTTGGATAAGGAAGCTAAGAAGATGAAGAAGTTCTTAATTCACAAAATTTAATGCATGGAGATATATAATGTCTTGCCAAACAAAAAGTATACTCACACAAAATCCTTTAATTATACGGGCGTAGTTTTAACCTCAAATAACAAAGTTGGATATTTCTTAGCTGAATCGAGTATTGTCTTGTGTGGTCTCTCGGTCTTCTCTTTATGATCGTATCAGGGAGCGTCAGTATGATGACCCCCATATGCTTGTCCTTAAGGACACGGTCCAGCACGGCTTTGTGTATATATATATATATGAATGGTCTCCCACAGTAAATGTAAAGTTAGACAATCATACGCTCATAAATCCATAGTTAATGTGATATATACATGCACTTAATATTTATATTTATCATGTATGTATGTCTCTCAATAATAATAACATATGTATAGTAATTTACATAGACTGAATAAACCCCGAAACATGTAGAACTTATAAAATTAAAAAATGGATCTGGGCCCGTTTACCAAAAATATTGACCAAAGTCAACTAAAATTAACTTTTAAGGCATAAATTCTTATTTGCATCAATTTCAACATAAAAGCTTTTCGGAAACCTGCCCGGACTGCGCACACAAATAAAGGAGGGTAAAAATGAGATTTTTAAGTCTTAAGAGCGCAGATTCGAGTTCTAAAACATAAGATGACCTTTTGGGTCATCACAATTTTCTATGGTAATCATCATTAATGAGTTTAGAAAAGGTACAAAAAATCAATATTGTAAATGAAGATGTTGCACCTTAAATTATCATGACAAGATATAGAGAGGTGATATGGATCTAATTGATAAGTGAATGTGAATCAGTCAAGTTTGTGGTAAACATAGTATGACTCATAAGAAGTTAATTGAATCGGATTATTATTATTGGGCTTACCTAGCGGGTGAGGTTAGGTGCCATCACGGCTAGTTGAATTTTGGGTCGTGACACGAGGGTCTATAAAAAATAATCTCTCTGCCTTTGTAAGGTAGATGTAAGGTTGCGTACACATTATCATCTCCACACTCCACTTGTGAGATTACACTGGGTTTGTTGTTGTTGTTGTTGTTGTTTTGATACCGTATCTGATACCTACATCGGGCCCGACTAAATTTAGATTTGCGCCGAAAATCCTACATTTGCGAGTACAGTATTCTCGAACAAATGCGACTTCATCATAGACTCAAAAATAAAATTTCTGATTAAGAATGAAGTAGTACTTATTAGGGGTGTACATAGGTCAGGTTGGTTCAGATTTTGCAATTACCAAACCAAACTAATTGTGCCGGGTTATTAAATCTAAGGACCAAACCAATCCAATAAACTCGGATTTTTTAATCTCGGGTTTTCGGGTTTTTTCGGTTTTTTCTCCGGTAAAATCTTCATAGTACAAAACATATAACTTGTGCTCCAAATATTTCTTTAATCATAGTGAGATACAACTATATAAGGTATTTTTCAAGAAAATAATATAAAATATGAGAAGTGTCATGGCAATATCCTAAAATATTCAACAATAAAGATAATAAAATCACGTAATATAAATATTGCTAATTAAAAAGCCATAATAAAAATAAACATAATCTAAAAGTACTTAAGTCATGCTAAAATAAGTAGACTAATAAGGGAGTATTAATTACATGACTAAACGCTAAAAAAAATTAAAAATAGGTTATGCATTTTTATTTAAAACATTGCAAAACAGAAAATAGATATTCAATACATTGCCATTCCTAATATTAAATTGAATGTCTTTTGTCAGCATTAGTATTGATTTGATTTTGATTTGGGCTTTTGTTAGTATTATTTGAGTTACAAATATTAATGGCTATAAAACTTATTGGAACATTCAAAAGTTCTAAGTCCAACCTTGAAATAATACCTTAAAAGATAAAATTATGAAAAAGTTTAAGAAATATTTATAAATTACATCACAATAAGTATATTTATATATTAAATATATCTAAAATTTCTATAATATATTGTCGAGTTGGTTTGGTTTCGGTTTGACTTTCTTTAGTTAAAACCAAACCAAACCACTTATGTTCGGGTTTTTTTTTCCAATACCAAACCAAATCAAATCTAAATATAATTAATTTTTTTTCTCAATTTTACTCAAATTTTCGGGTTGATACGATTTGACGATATATACACGTCTAGTACTTACACTCCAATACCCCCTCCAATACCCCCTTGTTGGTGGCTATAGTTTCATTAAAACACAACTGACATTTCAGTCATCAGTTTTAAGAAAATTTGTGACATTGGTTTGCGGACCATCTAAAAGTTTGCCATCTCATACCATGCAAAATTAACAAGAATAAAAAAAAAAGTACTAATAATAATGCATCAAAAATATATAAAAAGAACACAAGCAATATACCCTCTTTTAATTTCTTCAAAGAAGCTGAAATTCTTCAAAATCATAGAAGAGAAGCAACTAAAGGTATAATGACTACCACTTACAATCTTTTCAATATTGATAAGATTATTGACACATATATTATATATTAATATGGTTGTAATTAAGCAGATTAATATTTTGTTTTAATCATCTGTATTCTCATTTCTCAATTGCAGGTCACCACTTCGACAAAATCCTTGTAAAAACATGCTTTTCTCAATTATTATTTTTTTCTTTTGTGGTAAAAACAATACATTTTGAGAAAAAATGCCTGCATAACCATTAATCTTTCTAGAGAATCACTTTTAAGATTTTTACTTTTTATATTGACTCAGAATTTAATTTTTTTTAAAAATTTTAGTGTTTCGTATTAAACATACTAAATTTAGTTGAACTCGTGCTTCTTGGTTTGAGAAAAAGCACCAAAAACAAGAAGAATAAAAAAGAAAAGAATAGAAATAGGAAGGAAAAATATAGAGTTATTTTATTTTAAAAGTGACTAAAGATTTTGTTTTCTTTTTCTTGTATAGTATAATGTATGAAACATCAGAATATCACAAAAGGATTTTCACATCAACAACTTGTACTCAGCAAATTGATTCACTTGGGAATGTATTATATGGTGCTGGATCTGATCTTATCAAAAGTGAGCTTGGTGTTTATGGGGAGAAATTTTTTGGTTCAAGTTCTGCCTATGTTCAAAGCAATGTAAGATTTAAATTTTTTGATTTTAAACTAAAAGATGTGTATAGGAAAGAGAACTTGGAGCAACGATAAAATTGTCTTCGTGTGACTTATAAGTCACGAGTTCGAACCGTGGAAACAACCACTAATGCTTGCATTAGAGTAGACTGTCTACATGCACCCCTTGGGATGCGGTCTTTCCCGAACCCTGCGCGAACGCGAAATACTTTGTGCACCGAGCTGTCAAACTAAAGATGTTTATAATGTACTAAAATCCTTGAATCTTGTAGTTTTAAACAAGTCATGTGAAATGTTGGAGTTAACGACTTACTAAATATAAAAAGTAATTTTTTTTTAAGCAGACTAATAAAGAAAGTAAGCCATATAAATTAAAACAGAAGGAGTACTATTTTTTAAAAGAAAAAGAAAAATAGGTGTAGTTAATATTTTCTAAATAGTAAATTTTAGAGTCTGGATGTTGAATTTGGATGAAATTATTGTACTGTATTTTCCATTTTCTAATTTATTTGCAATTCACAGATTAGCAGATACATTTCGAATCCTCAGTACTATTTTCAAGTGAATGAAGAATACGTGAAGAATAAACTGAAGGTGATTTTATTCCCATTTCTTCACAAGGTAAAGACTTGAACATTTTCAGTATTATAAGTAAATTTGTTTGTGTTGGAATTAATATCAGAGCAGAACTTTAATCCTTAGATTAGTCCATTCTCATTCTTGTACATCCATTTGCAAAATTCCGTCCTTATTTTATGTGATACACTTTGACTGGTCATAGGATTTAAGAAGAACGAAAGACTTTTGAAACTTGTTGTTTACAATAAGTTATAGATAATTATATAGCTATAAATTACCTCATTAAAAATAAAATGAAAAGTTTAAAGTTAAATTATTTCTAAAAATAGAAAGTTATTTTTTTTGCGGCAGACTAAAAAGGAAAGTGTATTACAAAAATTGAGACGGGTGAAATATATATATTAGTGTCTTGCTTGGGGTACATAAGGTACTGTATTTATAAAATTCCTGAATTTGTCTATTTAATTTATTTCTCCTAAATATGTTTTTATATAGGGACATTGGATGAGAACTGCTGATTTGGCTGGAGGAGAATTTTCATTTAAACCTCCAATTTATGATATTAATGCACCTGATTTGTACATTCCAATTATGGCTTTTGGTACTTATTTGGTTCTTGCTGGCTACTTCTTGGGCATTACCACCAAGTAAGTTGTTTAAAAAGAAATTCCATGTTTATATGTTATAGATTTAACTTATATACTCTAATTAAAAATTCAATCATATATAAAGATGATTTTCAACTAAGAATAAAAGATCTTTATGCAAATAGCCTGCAGGATTTTGGGTGAAGTATACAATAGCCCTCAAAGTCGATGGTCTTAAATTTTTGTCCCTGTTTGCTTTATCGGCAGAACTTCAAGTTAACAAGTGTTTCCTTTCGCTCACCCCGTGAGCAACAGTTTCAACTTGTGACCTTGAAGTTCATAGAGTAAGCGGGTGCTAAAATTTAAAGATCACCCCTAAAAGTGCCATATTTATGCAATTTTAATATTTTTTGGAGCCGGTATACATAAATTATACACTAATTATATACGGTTATAAAAATTATACATAAATTATAAATATATTATGCATCCGTCGATTATTTTTCGTTTAAGCGGTTGAATAGGAGATTATTTAGGTTAATTCTTCAAAATAATGTGCATTTGTTGCATTTCAAGCTTCTCATCGGTCTTTTATAACTGAATTTAAGTTGTATACATAAAAAAATATCTGCTATTTGATCTGATAGTACAAATATTTTTGACATTGTGTATCACTGCATAGATATTCTTAATTAGCGTATAATCTATGTATATCGGCTAAAAAAATAACTAATAAATCCGGCGGGCTATTTGTATAAAGATTCTAAAAATTTATCTGGAATTGTTTTACAAGTACTTGACTGTGCAAATATTTTTAACGATGTGCGTCAATGCATCAAACTTAAACGATATATTAGTGGTCTGACTTGCAAATATTCTCCTAAGCAAACGCACCGGTGCATATAACTTAAACTCATTCTGTTTTTGTTGCAGATTTAGTCCAGAAGCTTTAGGTGTACAATTCACAACAGGACTACTTTGTTGGCTTTTGCAAATCCTTTTACTTGAGGCAACATTACACTCTTTAGGAAGTGGAGAAGTGCCACTTCTTGACATGGTTTCCTATGGTGGCTACATTTTTGTAGCAGCATCAGTCATTTTAATTGCTAGGATTATTTGGGATTATGCATTTCATTTAATTACATTTTTTGAATGCTTTTGCATGGGAATTTTCTTAATAAAAACCATGAAAAGAATCCTAATTGCAGAAGTTAGGCGCTTTGAGAAGCATTCCACTAAGAGAAATTACCTTTTGCTTTTCATGGCTTTGTCTCAAATTCCTTTGCTTTTTTGGTTGGGAAATGTTGGTGTTGGAGCTAAGTGAGAGCAGAGGCGGATTCAGGATTCGGCGATCGCGGGGCACTATGATATTCAGTATAAATTTATCAATGCTCATAAAGATTGGTACGGGGGCCTATGCTAATATCTGACTAATTTTTGGAGACATTCGCAAGTATATATGGAATTTTTGTCGAAATTTTAGGGTACTAGTGACCCCTTCAAGCTATAGTGTAGGCCCTTATTTGAATGAGAGTTTCAATAAACTTATTGTAATTCTGTTGCTTTACATGAATGTAAAAGGGTTTGAGAAAGAAAAAGGAACATCAATAAAGGATTAGTCAAATGATACTTGCTGATTATGATTATGTGATTTTGAGTAAGTTGGGGTCATTCTTTAGCGGGTTTAACAACGATGGATTTACTGTTTATTTTTTCTAAATCGGTATACATAGATTATACACTATTTATGCATGAATTATATACTGAGTATGCATAGATTACACATTGATTATGCATGAATACCGATCAAAATCCGTGGGTATCCTTTACCGACCAATATTTTACCGTCCTCTATCTCGATCGGTTTTCGGTTGATTTTTTTTTTCTAACTATTTTTGACCTGTTTTGTTAGTAAACTGAGAAACATAACCCTACCTTAAATCCATAATGTGATTGCCAATACAGCCAAATAGTAACATATTCCATAATATTTAACATTAAAAAACTATCACATAAACAAGTGCAGTACTGAAATATCACAAGTATTGCCTCGTCCTCATTCATTACGCAAAAAATTATATTTGAAATCTTTTTTTATCTGATATATTAAAAAGTCTCTCTACCTTTATAGGGTAGGGGTAAGGCTGCGTACACACTATCTTCCCCAGACCTCATGTATAGAATTATTGTTGTTGTTGATCTTAAAAAGAATAGTACAAATATACCATTATATAGAAAAAACACAATGAACTAGGCATATGAGAAGGTAGTAGATATGGAAGAAAACGAATTAAAAAGAAAATTAAGATATTAAAAAAATATAATAGAACTGCACCTATCTTAATCTTTACTCAATTACTTTACATAATAGTTGTAAAAAGATTTGAGAAAGGAAAAAGATTAGTCAAATGATATCTGATTATGATTGCCTGAATTGGAGAAAGGTGGGGTCATTCTTTAGTGGGTTAATTTTAAAAATATTTCAATACTATAAGAAAGAAATTAAATTGTGAATTAAATGTCACTATGTGCAACAAAATCCGATTATGTTTAGGTGAATCTGTAAGGTTAATTAAAAAAATTCAGATTTAAGAAAATTTGACCTTTAATTCAAAAGGCAAAATGATTTGAACCCCACTATAAATATATTCAACCAAAAATATTTTTTCAAAAAGAACTCAAAAATGCATCAGCAAATGACGGCCATTACAAAGCACTTGATTTTCTTCATTTTACTTCTTTTTATCATCTTCCCTGCTCATGAATGTAAGTATAATTCATAAAATCCTTTCTTTATTCATTTTATATTTCCATTCTACTTACAAAATAAAATGAAAATTAACCACTTAATGCCTCCAATCTATTTAGTTATAATGACTTGTTTATTCTTTTTACAAGACGTTTGTCAAAAAGTTGATTTAATGTTTTATAAATAAGCTTTAGAGTAAAAATATTGTATAATTGAAAGATATCATTAACAAAAAAAATTTAAGTACTATAGAATCCTGCATTAACTAGGACCGACTAAATTCATATTTGCGTTGGAAATTTTCACATTTGGAGGTAAAGTGCTCTCTAACAAATTCAATTTTGGAAAAATNATATATATATATTTTATTTGGTTAAAAGTATAAAAAAAACCTTTAATTTTCTACCTAGTACTCGAACTCGCAATCTCTAGTTAAGGAAAGATGAATACTTACCACTCTAGCATAATATAATATTTATTGGTCATGATAATGAAATTTGTTCGAACTCTAGATGTAGTTGATTGATTGATTGATATACCTTCATATAGTGACTTACATTTTTTTTAATATATATTTTAACATAGGTGAAGAAGCAAGCAGGAGCATAAATCTAAGGACTAAAAATATAAAAGATGAGAGACTTTTTAGTCCTGGCAAATGTTTCAATGTGCCATCAGAAGGAGGATGGTGTTGTGAAACAACTTCATTGTGTTATGTTCAGAAAGAGAAATGCTTGCACCGTTGTCCCCATTTTCCTCCTCTAAATTAGCATATTCCTCTTACCAAGAGTTTTGTTAAACATTTTAATTAATCCTCATGTTTTGCCAGTTTGTAAGTCGTATGGAGCTTTCATTTATCATTCATTTTTAACATTAATTAATCTAATAGACTTCAAAGAGGAGTTTCAATTTTCTTTCCTTAACATTGATCTAAGTTCCAGAAATAAATTATATCTTACGCCTTACTAATATGTCTTTATGGATATTTAAGCCTTGTATATTGACATTTATCGACATTTTTCTCCACTTGTGAGATCAAACTGAGTATGTTATTGTTATTATTGTATATCGACATTTAGATGCGCTTAACCATTTCCATCCGCAACGATTAGTTTACTATAAGAACATCTAGAAAAATTCTTACTTATTGTACACTATAAGGAAAGAACCTCGATACAACAGCAACAACAACAACTCAGTGTAATCTCACAAGTGGGGTTTGGGGAGATTAGTGAGTACGCAGACCTTACCCCTACCCCGAGGGAGTAGAGAGGTTATTTCCGAAAGACCCTCGGCTCAAGAAGACGAATAGAGACAATAAATCAGAACCATCAACAGAAATCACAGAAATAATAACAGCAACATAAAAATCAAAAAATAGATAAAAAGCAATAACAATAATAAGTAGGTAAGGTCCGGTACTATGAAAAACGAAAGAATAGTATGGACACAATATTACCCACTAACAATCTAAGACAAAGCCCTATCAGTCTAGTCTCTTACCCGGAATAATGTAGAAAAATGCTCAACTCCTCCTAACCTACAACCCTAATGCTCGACCTCCACACCTTACTACCAAGGGTCATGTCCTCAAAAATCTGAAGTCACACCATGTCCTCAGAAATCTGAAGCCACACCATGTCCTGCTTGATCACCCCTCCCCAATACTTCTTAGGGCACCATCTACCTCCTCTTGTACCAGCCAAACCCAACCGCTCACACCTCCTTACCGGGGCTTCTTCTCTGCACGTGCCCGAACCATCTGAATCTCACTTCACGCATCTTGTCATTCATAGGAGTGTAACGATCCGGCCAGTCATTTTGAGAGTAATAGCCCCGATCCCCTATTTATTATTTTTCCCGTACCTTTTTCTGCTTAGGTGACTTGCCGGGAGGTTTTGTTTTTGGTTTCAGAGTGTTTTGAGACACTTAGTCCCTAAATAGAGGTTTAAGCCTTAGGATTTGGACTGTAGTCGGAACTGTATGAAGACGACTCCGGAATGGAATTATGTTGATTTTATTAGCTTCGTTCGGTGATTTTGTGTTTAGGGGCGTGTCCGGTTGTGTTTTGGAGGTCTGTAGCTTATTTAGGCTTGAAATGGCGAAAGTCGAATTTTTGGAGATTTTGACAGGTAATGGACTTTTTTATAACGGGGTCGGATTCTAATTCCGGAAGTTGGAGTAGGTCCATAATGTTGAATATGACTTGTGTGCAAAGTTTGGGGTCAATCGGACGTGGTTTGATTGGTTTCGGCATCGGTTGTCGAATTTGAAAGTTTCAAGTTCTTTAAGTTTGAATCGGAGGATGATTTATGATTTTAGCATTGTTTGATGTGGTTTGAGGGCTCGACTAAGTTCGTATGGTATTTTTGGATTGGTTGGTATGTTTGGTTGAGGTCTCGGGGGCCTCGGGTGAGTTTCGGGTGGTTAACGGACTTGGAATGGAAGTTGAGAAATTTCTGAAGTTTGGCCTTTTGCTGGTATGATCGCACATGCGAGGGTATTAGCCGCAGGTGCGAGGCCGCATATGCGGTAGGTTGAGTGCAGGTGAGAAAGGGGTGAAGATCAGTAGAGGTCGCATGTGCGATGGCTTCTCCGCACCTACGATAGCGCAGATGCGGACCAATGATCGCAGAATCGGAGACAACTAAGGTTAGTCGTTTTCGCAGGTGCACCCACATTTTTCGCACCAGCGGGTGCGCAGGTGCGAGCCCAGGATCCGCAGATGCGGAAATACCCGGGCAGTGTTTAAAACTGAAAGGCTTCATGATTTTTGTTATTTTGGACTTTGCAAACTCAGTTTAGGGCGATTTTTGAGAGCATTTTCGAGGCATTTCTTGAGGTAAGTCCCTTGTGCTTATTTTTTATCAATAATCTTGCTTTCTCATTTATTTTTCCACCGAATTAGTGTGTATTTAAGGTAAAATTTGGGAGTTTGAGGGTAGGGATTTGGAAAGTCTTATTTGTGGATTTGAAGGACCATTTGGTGTCGGATTTTAGTAAATTTGATATGGTTAGACTCGTGAGTGAATGGGCTTTCAGATTTTGTGACTTTTACCCGATTCCGAGACGTGGGCCCAGGTCGACTTTTTAGGATAGATTTTGAATTTTTTATTAAGATCTTGATTTCATTAATTAGATTAGTCTATTATAGTTGTATTTATAATATGTAATTATTTTAGCTAGATTTGGGCCATTCGGGGTCGGATATTCGTGAAAAAGGCATTGTTACCAATTGATTGAGCTTGGTTTGAGGTACGTGGCTTGTCTAACCTTGTGTGGGGAAACTCCCCATAGGATTTGTACTGATTTGATATATGAGCGCGGTGTACGTGAGGTGACGAGTACGTACACATGCTAATTGTGTAAAAACCCAATTTTTCTACTAAGTAATAACCTGATTTCTATCTTATTTGAGTTTCATCAGCATGTGTAGTATCCTGCTAGATTAGAATAATATGCCTACTTGCCTTAACTGTTTACTTGAACTACGTGCAACATGTTTAGTGAATTTACATGTCTTTCCTTAACTGGTACTTAGGTTGAATTGTAGGATTTCGTGTCGTAACTATTGA